GGCCATATGTCGCATCTTGTCGCATCTTGTCGCTCATTGAATAAGCTTTTTTATTTTACCAAAGGGCGACAATGCGACAGCGTGACATTTTTCAAGGTCAAAAATGGCTTTTCGCATTGTTGCCCAATCAAACATGTGTAAAAAGGACGTTAAGTTCAGTTAATGTTATATAGAAGCGTGAACCAACTTATATCTGTCGTAGAAATTCTACCTGATACGTCTTGAAAACACAAGTCCGTCCACGGTTTAATAACGTTTTATTGTGAGCTCATCTCTAAAGCCGCTCAGTGTTGTCACTCCCAGTTCCCAACTGTTCCGCCCGCGCTGGTTTACATGCATATAGCTTCTAAAACAGTGTTGATCATATTCTTAAAAAGGCAATCAGACCAGACCAGGTAGTACCTTATACGCAATCCACATTGAGCTAGTGCAGTGGTCGTCCGGAAGATCTTGACGAATAAGACAATTGAGGAGAGCCCGCCTGAACTGTGACCGCCCATGTTTGCCTGAGGGAGAAGGGTGGGAAATGTGTGCTCTGTCAAGTGCCGAGCTGGCGACACATTCTGTTTACTGCATGTGGAATAGAGTATATTGCATTTGCTATACTGTATACTGTAAACTTTCAAGATTCAAGATGCAAGTTTCAAGTGGCATTCATTTCTTATAACAGACCGCCGTCATATCAATGGAATATTGCTGAAAAAGGCGTTAAACAGCACACACAATTTGTTTTCCAAATGGAGCGCTGCAGTCATATGAAATAGAACCACATACATATGTAGTAACAACTCACTAATTCCCTGTTTCGAATATTCAGCACAAAATATATATTAACCAGCTGTGAGGTGAGATATCAGATTTTTACAAGCAGTCAAATAAGGATGATAAAGGACCCCTCAATAATGAGGTTCATGTTTACTTTAGAGTGAGTGTTGTTGTACGCCGCTTTTAGCAATATTCAAGCAATATCACGGCAGAAATGGGCTTCACACATTGTACCCATGTCGGGAATCGGCGTGACGAGCGTACACTTTAACCATTAGGCTACCCGACCGCTCCTGTTCACATTTTAGCGGGGGCCAAACTGGAGTTGTTATTGTGTGGTTAGAGCTGTGACGTAGTCTGTCCCCCAGACCCAAGTGAATAAATTACAAAAAGGAGTCCAGCTCAAGTCTAGAATGAATGGAGATTGCCTCAGCACTAGCATGAAATAACGAATTGTTATGTGCTCCTTTTTAATTTAATTATTTTTTATTTTGACATGGATACACCAACCAGGAGAGACATTGATGGAACATTAATATCACATGTTACCACTGATCCAGTTAAATTCATCACCCAATACAATATTAGTATTCATGCTACAAAGTGCATGATCATGCACATGTTCATATAAAGCATATCACTGCTTAAGGGTCATGTGCAAATGAGAAAGTGGACGAACCTTAAAATTATTAATAAACGTAGTTTTCGCAATTTACCTTATACAAAAAGAATTGAAAGCCGTCAAATTATTTAGGTTTGTATTAGTTTGCGTATTTGACGATTATATAACTTGCGAAAACTTTTTCCATACTCAGCCGTTCCTGAGCATTGCGCTTTCCCAATTAGTTTGACCCAAATTCTTACTGTTATCATTATGTTAGTCAATGAGAAATGCGTGCCGATCAAGTACGTGCAATAATTTTTGGCGACATTGTACGATTTCGACCTTATCACGAGAATGTGTTTATGAATCACTGTCAAATAGTGGTGACATTAAATCTAAAAAAACAATCCGCAAAATCGCGCATGCACGAAACGCATTAACCAATCCGTGCAGTGTGATGATGCATGTCATCGTATCCCAACTGCGCGGATCGATGCTCATGATGCCAATCACTGGATTTTCTGGTCCAGACTCGATTATTTACAGACCGCCGTCATATAGCTGGAATATTGCTCAGTGCGGCGTTAATCAAACATGTAGCCGACTCGTGAAACCCGTGCTTGCCGTAAAAGGTGACTATGCTTGTCGTAAGGGGCGTCTAGCGTCATTCAGTTGTCAGCCCCGCTGATTTGGTTGATGCATGTCATCGTATCCCAATTGCGTTAATTGATTATCATGTGATCACTGGATTATCTGGTTCAGATGCGATTATTTACAGACCAATGAGCTGGAATATTGCTGAGTGCGGCGTTAAGCAACAAACAAACAAACAAACTAAAAATGTACCCCTGGAATGAAGAAACCAAGGTTTACTGGAATCGGGTTGTCTGTACAGAAATTATTTACTCACAACGTTCTGCACCAACATCAATCACACTTGCATTGGTACATGTACAGAGAACCCCTTCATGGTTGGATTGTGAATAACGTATATAAGTTATAGGGAATATGTATAATCAGGGAATATGTGTATTCCCTGAAATTCATATAACTTTATGGCTATATTAGAACCTGAAAATAAATTTCAGGGAACATGTCTAAAGAAACTTGTTGTTTAATCAGGGAATATGTATTATACCTGAAAATTGTAGGGATTATGTATATTCCCTGAGTGAATCAGACATTAAATATATTCCCTGAAAATTTCAGGGATTATACATATTCTCTTATTATACATATTCCCTATAACATATATAGATTGGAGTTATCTTCTCCATTTATGGACACAAGTTCCAAAGATCTATTCCTACAGTTATTGTCACAAGCAAGGGATGTTACTCTGCCGTTCTGACGACAGTTCTAGTTTATAACCATTTTGTTGCAATATTTCTCCCTGCTGGGATAATGTTTGCGTTATAAGTAACCGGTACCTCACCAAAGTACTTTCTTAAAAATGTAATAAATTTAAAGCTTGTACCCGTTTTGGGGTTGATGATTATAAGACTCTTTCATACCCAGGGTGTAAGATAGGAACATTCTACCCGAGGTGTTTTAAGTGAGCGAGTGAGTATGGTTTTTCGCCACTTTTAACAATATTCCAGCATATCACGGAGGGGGCACCAGAAATGGGCTTAACACTTTGTACAAATATCGGGAATCGAACCCGGGTCTTTCAGTTTGACGAGCCAACGCTTTAACCACTAGGGTTTTTCAAATTTGACTGCTGATGCAATATATATAGTTTGTAAAATAGTACAGTTGACTAGATTTCATGCATGTTCATTTGTTTTACTAGTTTAAACAGATATACAGTGTACGCAACTTTTGCCTTCTTGGCAGCCATATCTTTCGGTATTGTTTCTTAAGTTGGTCGTGGGAAGGCTTCGCAGTTTTGCAGCTACTTAATGCATCTATTAGGGTCGTTTTATGTGCAGAACACACATACATTGACAATAGCGTTGACAAATATATTCTAGATAATCCTCAAACCACTTCACATTTGTACATAGCCCAATGTACCACCATGCGCTTGTTCATTTCCCGAGGCAAGTTTATGTGAAGTATTTTGCTGATATCACAAATTACGCCTGACTTATTTCGTATAATCTACCACACTGCGAATAACCTGGAGGTATACGATGGCTGATTTGAATTTAAATCCCGATTGAAGACCATTCACAAGTACTCAGCAATGAGTTGGCTGAAAACATAGTGGGTTGGTTGGGTTGTTGTTTTACGCCGAACTCAGCAATATTCCAGCTATATGACGGCGGTCTGTAAATAATCGAGTCTGGACCAGACAATCCAGTGATTGACATCATGAACATCAATCCACGCAATTGGGATCGACCAAGTCAGCAAGTCTGACTACCAGATCCCGTTAGTCGCCTTTTACGACAAGCATAGTCGCCTTTAACGGCAAGCATGGGTTGCTGAACACCTATTCTACCCCGGATCTTCACGGGTCGGCTACATTTTTGTTTAACCCCGCACTGAGCAATATTCCAGGCATATGACGGCGGTCTGTAAATAATGGAGTCTGGATGATGATCGTTACGTCGATTGTGATGGCAATTACCTGTCACACATGTACAGGGGAACCATAATTTAGCAGACTGAGAACTTTAACCTCCTGGGCAGAGCCTTCAATAATCTGTGTAAAGCATCATACCAAATCTAAAAACACGCAATTAGTTATTTTCACATACATAACTAAAATGTATGTCACAGACCAATTTCTGTCAAGTAGTCCGCTTACACGGGAAAAGCAATCTTTCAGATTCACTGTTTGATAATGTGAATCCCTTGTGCATTTGCAATATATGCTTGACGGTGAACCTTAAAGTTTTATCACAAAGGATATACTGAACCGTATGACGAAACCTGTCCACTCGAATGTTAGGATTATGATTTTTAATGAGCACCATTATTACACAGAAATTCGTTCAACTAAGGGCATTTACATCGAGTTAGTCGCTATATGGCTGAAATAGTGAGTGAGTGAGTGAGTATGGTTTTACGCCGCTTTTAGCAATATTCCAGCAATATCACGGCGGGGGACACCAGAATGGGCTTCACACATGTCGGGAATCGAACCCGGGTCTTAGGCGTGACGAGCGAAAGCTTTAACCACTAGGCTACCCGACCGCCCCCGGCTGTAATAATGCCGATGCGACGTTACATTTTAACTCTCTCACTTACTTCGTGAAAATTGGCCCCTGAACATGAACCGCAGCCCCCTACCCCATAGTCCCTTGTCAGTAGTTGTTTACTATTGCCCCCGTGTGTATTCCGGGTAAGAATAGATCCGGTGATTTGATTTATTGTGTATTAAAGTTCACCGATCGGGCGGGAGATTGCTCTCAATACACAATTGTTATTATCTCCTTGCAAGAAATGATTCTAAATCAGATGTAAGGGCGATGGGGTGTGGTATTTATGTTCTCATCAAAGTCATCTCACCACAAAGATAAAACATTAATACGTGATAATTACACAATATAGTAAGTGAACTGGAAGATGAAGGATTGTTGTAGTCACTTGTCATGGATAAGATCACACGGTGCCTTAGGGGAAATAAAAAAAACATGTTTATTTATTATTTAAAACGCAAAACTATAGCAGACGAAATCTGTACTTGTTCAACAGCGGATGCATGCCGAAACTCGAAATGGCAGTTGCTCAAATATGCTGTCTTCTTCTGATATTATTTCTCACACGAGTAGATGGTCAAGGTAATGCGGTGCCGCATCTTCTTGGAAGTAACTGCGTTAGCCAAAGAGACATTAACAAGATGTTTGGACAAGCTAGAAAATATAGAAGTTTATATGTCATTTGCAGTAGATAGTGAGTCATTGCAGTCTCACCTCAAGCATTGCATCGTGTTCTCCTTCGGCTTGAGCCAGAATATTGATTTGTAAGCTTCACATCCAGCGTGGTAGGTTGGCAAGTGGTAAAACCGTGTGCTCGTCATTCTGAAGATATGGGTTCCATTGCCCGTAAGTGTCAGCTCCTACGCTCCTGCGGACACGACTAGAGATAACTTCTGTGTGGTGTGAAGACCAACTCGCCACTCTCTCATTTCCTTGAAATTATCATTTTTCTTGTAAAATCTGATGACAAGTTATGTTATTTCTATGATTTGGGAACAGACTGTACTTTTCAAAAAATATTTCAGGCCCTCAACAAGAACATGAAATGGTCGGTCTCCAATTATATTACTCTTTAGGGTTCAGGGGAGCATGTTTTTGTTGCATTGGTTTTATTAGATTATTTGAGCCACGGTATTTCAAAATTATCTGTTTTGTGAAAAACAGACATTATTAACGACAATGACCCACGATCAGATTTGTTCTCAATTTCTTTTCACTATTTCAGCATGCCAAATTCCCGGAATCTCATGTGTTAGCAACTGTAACGCCGCAGGAGTAATTCCCGCTCTCACGTGTCCAATGGGTCAGGTGTGCTGTTTAGGTAAGTTTTGTTTATTTGTATTTTGTTTAACTGCCGCACTCAGCAATATCCAAGCTGTATGACGGCGATCTGTAAATAATAAAATCTGGAATAGACAATCCAGTGAATGCCATCATGAGCTTTGATATACGAAATGTGGATACGATGACATTCATCAACGAAGTCGGCAAGCCTGGCCACCTGATCCCTTCAGTCGCCTCTTGCAACTAACATGGGTTGCTGAGGACCAATACTGATCTTCACGGTTAGCGGTAATGGCAATAGGACTTTGTTTCTTTGCAAAAGGCAGGTATTTACATTTATACGTTTGCGTAGATAATATCATATTGCTCTAAAGTATTCGCAGTTCTTGGACACTTGTCCACTAATGATATATACTGAACAACAAAAGTTCCTGTGACATTGAATAAGATTTAATGCAAAGTTATGTTTTTTACCAAATCTGAAACAATTTCGGTTTGCAACAGATAAGAGACTCCTGGGAGTGTTCAAATGGTTTAATTTGCCATACTGACTTCAGAAAATTTCTTAAAAAACAACAACATGAACATGCCAAAATGTCAATTTACAAATCAATAGCGCGTGTGTCCACCTCTGGTTGCGATGCAAGCAACACATCTTCGTCTCATGGAATGGACCAGGCGTCGCACAAAGTCCTGTGGGATATCTGTCCATATCTGCTGGAGCATGTTTCGAAGTTCCTGGAGTGTCTGTGGAACGCCTAGATAGACGTCGATGGCGCCGATCCATCTCAGCCCACATGTGCTCGATTGGTGAGAGATCAGGGGAGCTAGCCGGCCAGGGATTGACATTCACGATGTTTTGTTGAAGAGAATCCCGAAAAAGTCGAGCAATATGAGGCCGGGCGTTGTCATGTTGAAAGGTAATGCCTGGGCCATGACGACGCAAAAACGGTAGAACAACAGGGCCGATGATCGCGTCGCGGTAGCACTGTCAATTGAGATTTCCCTCTACCACTATCAAACGGGTCCTCTCTCTTGCTGCTATCCCACCCCATACCATAACGCTGCCGTCACCGAACCGATCTTCTTCCATGACACAATGATTGACGTAACGTTCACCTCGACGTCGGTACACTCGAATCCGTCCATCGCTGTGGCTGAGGTGAAAACGAGACTCCACAGTGAATAAAACTTGTCCCAACTGCATGGCCGTCCAGCGTAGACGCTGTCTGCACCACTGTAAACGTGCTTGACGGTGGTTTCCTGTCAAAATGGGACGTCTGGCGGGTCTTCTGGCGACAATCCCTGCACATCTGAGGCGGCGACGTACGGTTTGTAAAGATATTCGTCGAAGCCAGGGATGCTTCTTGCAGTCACTGTTGCTGGCTGGAATCGATTTCGTAGATGTGTTGTTCGAATTCAGTTGTCTTGTCGATTATTGGTTACGCGTAGCCTGCCACTCCAGGGATGGTCACTGACTGCATTCGTCTGTTGCCTACGTTGCCATAAACAGCAAATAGGGTTTCTGTGGACGTTAAATTGTCTTACAACATCACGTTGACTCAATCCTGCTTCAAGCATACCAATGGCTCGCAGACGCTCTTTTTCGGACAGGCGTGGCATTTCGTAATGTTGAATAATTGCGTAATTTTGTTGTTTTTCTGAGTGGTTGTTGTCAGCACGATGCTAAACAATGCATATGGAATCCCTTTAACGCACATGTTTTTATACCAATTCTTAGGTAGTGAAATGCATGGGGCTTGCATAAAAGTCACCTTTTGCACGGAATGCATGCTTTTCTGTAGCAGTTGCGTTTTTGTTACTTGATTCCATACATGTACTACAACATTGAAAACCAAACTTTACTTGTTTTGAAAAATACACTAAAATATTGGTGTCACAGGAACTTTTGTTGTTGAGTATATATGAATATTGGGAAAAGGGATATAGAATGCCAACATAAATTTCAATGAATTTGGTTTTAATCGAGTTCTTTACCCCTGTCAGTGGATCAGTGTGCAAGTGTCGATATGGCAAGGATAGAATATCCTATCAGATGAATGTAAAAGTTTGGAACCACACTGCACATACTACGAACGCTCAGGTAATGGAGCGCACGAGCAGCATATTAAGAATGTTCCAGTTTCCGTAGAGTTTAAAATTTATGACCCCTTACATGCTTTGTTTGATGAAAACATCGTTCCCTCAAACCGTGCACTTCCGTATATCGTCAGAAAGCTGACGTCTGTAATAAGCATATGTGTCAAACAAATTAGATCTTCGAAATGTACGGTCTTTTCCAGAGCATCATTAGTCTACGCTTTGTTGGTGTCACGCATTTTATTATAGCATATCCATGTATACATGGTATAAATAGTGTTACAACGTTCTTATCTCTTCACACGGTTTAACTTAATTAAAGAACATTCAACAGAAGTTGTCTTGCTTTCCAACAATATCTAGAGTCATCAAATCCAAAAGTGATATGCACTGCTTACCCATCACAAGACGACAGATGTGACATGGCGGGACATATATTGATGTGACGTCATCCACTTTACAAAATACGAGGCAAAAAAACGAGGTCAAACCACGTGCACCTGTCCAAACGACCAACTCACAGTGTCTGGAGATCACTGACCATCTATTAGCCTTCGCAAATACAAATGCACAGTGTAACGTCATTGAACAAAAAAACAAAACGTTCGCTGGTATCGAAAAAGAGATAACGTTTGTAAGGTTATTATACGATAATAGAGAGTACAATCTACCTCACTAATAAATGAACATAATATCAATATGCGTATAAACGTACCTTTTACCATATTTATATATTATCGATTATAGTTATATTTTCATATAATAGATCTGAATATTTTCTGTTAATCAATATCATAAACAGAATTACTGTCCTTTCGTGTCTCTTTTTTATCCAGATACTAGTATCTACACACATGCGGTTTTATTAGTTCCCCAACGAGTGGATCGTTTGCATTCCAGTTATAATTCTGAAGTCCCTGAGGAGTATTTAACCCAAGCTGCCTAGGGGCATTAGAAGGTTTTTACATCCATCTAACATATATAGGGTACCCAGTCCGTGCTGGGTGAACAGAGATACATTTGAACAAAGCCTAGGCTTTTTTTGGTTTTGGTTTGTTGTTTAACGCCGCACTCGGCAATAATCCAGCTAAATGACGCCGGTCAGTAAATAATCGAGTCTGGACCAGACAATCCAGTGATTGACATCATGAGCATCGATCCGCGCAACTGCGATACGATGACATGCATCAACCAAGTCAGCGAGCTTGACCACCCTATCCAGTTAGTCGCCTCTTACGACAAGCTTAGTCGCCTCTAAAGGCAAGCATGGGTTGCTGAATATCTACGCTAACCCGGCTCTTCACAGGTCAAGTAGGATTCAACTTATATTCAGATGACATAAAACTGAACTATATTTGCTGTTTACATATCAAAGTTTGCTAAATTGCACAGTATACAACTGGGCTGTGGGAGGACTTTTACGGCAAGCATGGGTTGCTGAAGACCTATTCTATCCCGGATTTTCACGGGTCTAAGCTCAGGCTGACAGCATAAGCATTGACACTTTCAGGTGTATGTACGTACTCACGTTTCCACCATCTGGTCATCTGCCATCGAACGATTTGGTTCTTTTGAGTGCACATGATGTATGTACAATACACCAGGGGTAGTGACAACACTAAAGACTTGTGAACAGATTTTGAATCAAGCCTGAATAACAACCCAGTCTCCAGGGGGATGCAATCTGAGCACCAGGCGCTTCTTCGCCTGGCGCTTTTAACCACTTTCCCACTCCTTCTCTGTTGCCAGGCTAAACTGCAATGGCAGACAGTCAATAGAAAAATGCAATACTTGACAAAATACTTTTCGTTGCGGACTACACATCAAATTTTTACGCCAATGGCTGTCCAGTGGTGAAGAGTAAATCTTTCTTATCTCTCAGAAACATTTTCAGTTTGGCTGCCTGATACTAAAAATATTTATTTATATGACATGGGTGCATAATCAGAATTCACATGAAGTCCGTAAACAATGGTTTACTAATGACTGCAAACAAGCCAGGAAGGCAAAACGCTGAACACAATTTTCGTCGCCATCCTATGGTCCATAATTTGAATAAATATAAAATGTTGGGTGCTAAAGCCAGAAGAACATTTAAACAAAATAAACGCCAATCTTGGCAGAAATATGTTACAAATATAAAATCACGAACTCCGACGTCCAAAGTATGGACCATGATATAAAAGATCAAAGGTAAGGGTTCTAAATCGAGCATCCACATTCTCAAAAATGGGGATGAATTGCTGCTGGTAGTTCAGATATTGCTAATAAACTGGGAGAAACTTTGGCAACACAATCTTCCTCGATTAACTTTGTACCTAAATTTAAAATATTCCAACATCAGCAGGAAATGAAAAAACGTTTATTTCAAATCAGAAAATGGGGAAGACTACAATGAAATATTTTCCATTCATGAACTCTATACTGCCCTTTGGCAAGCTCATGATACTGCTACTGGAGCTGATAACATACATTATCAACTCCTGAAACCTTTATCAGAACCTTGTTTAGAAACTATTTTGCTACTATTTGACGATATTTGGACATCACAGGAAGTTTCCTTCATAATGGCGTGATGCCATAGTTGTTCCCATACCAATACCGGGACGGGATTATACCGATCCCTCAAATTATAGACCAATTTCATTGACTAGCTGCGTTTGCAAAACAGGGTGTCCCACAAGGCAGTATTTTGTCTGTGACTTTGTTTAGTATTCAAATAAATAGTCTCTCTAAAGTTTGAAGTGATTCACTTGATGGATCACTTTTTGTGGATGGTCTTAACTTATCTTGTCGTGGTAAGAATATGCATACAATCAAAAGACAACTAAATACTTAAATGGTCTTTAGAAAACGGTTTTAAATTTTCGCAATCTAAAACAAATTGTATTCACTTTTATGGGAAATACAAGCCTCATACAGACCCAGACTTAGTTTTGTACGTGGAGGCTGAAGAGCCATCCCTGAAATACCGTCGCTTAAAATGAGCATTGCAATATGTTACAAAACTTTATTCCAATCCATCTAATCAATGCATATGAAAGTGTTTTCAACCTTCTTATGAGAATTTGTATGACCAAAAAACAGCACTTACTCCACCACATGGAATAAGAATAAAACCTGCTATTTCTGTTGCAGTTATATCTCCCACTCAGATTTTGTCTTCTCCTCCGTGGCAGTTTAGAAAGCCACAGGTTGATCTGACGTTAACCAACCTAAAGAAATCAGATACAAATCAGTTACTTTATCAGAAAGGATATAATGAATTAAGAGGCGCCTTTAACACTTACAAATCTGTTTTTACAGACGGCGGTGCAGTTGCTAGTGCCACTGTCATTCGATCCAACACCATATCATCAAGAATACCAGACGCCAGTTCAATTTTTACAGCAGAATCAAACAATTTTAACAGATCTCCAGTATATACATACCCAATCTAAACATAAACAGTTCATCATATTTTTGTATTCTTTTCCTGTCTTTAAGCCATAAAAAATATGTCCTGTGACCGTTCATTTTGTCTTGAAATCATAGAACACCATAATGATCTTGCTACTGGCCAATATGAATCGTCTTTTGTAACCCAGCAATGTTGGTAATATTGGTAACACAATGGCCGATGCTGCTGCAAAAGCAGCGCTCAACAAACTGTGACGCCACTTCTAATCCAATAGAGTGATTATAAGCCTGCTACTAGATATTAAGTAAGAGATCTAATGCAAAAAAAGTGGGACACCCAAGTAGGTATCAATAAGTTACATGAAATCAAATCAAATTTCGGTTACACCTACTTGGGATGTCAGTCAAGATTTGAATAGGTCACTCTAAGAGGATGTCGTATTGGCCATTCCCAATACACTCACGAGTATTTATTGAAAGGTGAGGATCCTCCGTTTTTGTGATGAGAGAATCACGGTCAAGCATGCCGTGCTTCACTGTTTTGATTTTTCCATCACAAGGGATCAATATTTCATTTTCATCACTCAGTGAACTTTTTAACATAAGCTATCATTTAATTTTTGGATTTTCAAAGGAAATTGAATTAACTGATACATTTTAATGTAGAAAGTTATATATTGTATTAATTGGTAGTATATGATTATGAACTGAGATTGTTAGTGGATGTACCCTTGATGGGGGTTGAAGTAGCGTAAAATTATTGTCCCCCTGAGAGAGAGGGTCCGTAATCCCACATCATTCAAAGTATTTTATATATACCAGTGTTTTAATCGTAGAAAATGTGTTTGTTTTAATCTTTGGCTAACCTTCTCCACAATCACCAGTGCTTAAAGGGATGGTGTCAATCCTGCTGGGGTCCATGCAGGTAGCAAAGGTACCGAGAGTCCCCATGGTCCCCAGTATGGTGGCCTACTTTTGGTTGCTAGTGATATATAGCCCACTTTTATATTGTGTTGTTATTAATAGTTAAGTTTTATGGTCATTTACTAGTTCTGCACCTATATCTGTGAAAATCTAGTTCTTTTACAGTCCTTCGTGGACAGATTTATATTCTAAATGTATGTCTTGTATGATTTGATATAGTCAATATATGGCTGAAATATTGCCGACATGACAATAAATATAAACTCACTCATTCTGATGTAGAGATGCTGTTCTTTTGGGGTAATATATGTTTCTGGAGTCAATGTTTTAGAGTGTATGAGAAAGATGTATTACAATATATTCAAAAACAATATCTTCAAAATTTAAGTCCTCATTGAAGAATGGAGCTGTATTTTCATGACATTCATCGTACTGTTTCAGATCCCTTTATTATACCAACAACGACCATACCACGTAAGCCCTTCTGAATTTGTCCTTCAAGTAAATAGCTTAAATAAATAAATAGCTTGACTTGATTCATCTTCTGGGACCGACCGTGGGGGAGGGGGGTGACTGGGATTTTGTATTCAGACCAGATAAAATTTTCATCTACAGCTGCAAAGCCAGCTATTATTTTGTTATTAAACTGCAAGCCAAAGTATATTTTGGTCTCTAAAAAACACATTTCGACAATATGATTAGCATGGCAGACAATTTCATTTTTCTCCAACTTTGTGAAGTATAAGTTTTATCTCAGATCGACATATTTGTAACATAACATAACATTGCTATTCAATCAATCAAGTAAAATGAAGTAAGTGTTTCATCATTATCAGTAAATGATTTCCCAATGTGCATATCGTTGGTTTTCACACATACTTGTTTTAATTACCCCCCGAATACTTTGATGAAAGTTTTTTTCAGCCTGCACTAGAGCCGGGATCGGATGTGTTGCCAGTAGTAACTGTAACCCCATAGGAATTATTGCTGCTCGCCAGTGTCCAAGTGGTCAGGTGTGCTGTGTCAGTAAGTAGTCGGACCTCTTTTGACCTTGAAACAGTGGCATTCTTTCCAGAGTGTTAACTATATTTTTATTATCCTGCGATTAGGGATTTTTTTTATCATTATAGTGGAAAACTAAATGGTCTATACAAACATGAAGGATATTTGTCATTTTGAAAACTAACAAATACTGATTGTCATTATAGTGATTGGTGTTGAACATTTTGAAATCTGTTATATTTCTATTGCGTATGGAGCTTCGATAATAGTCAATTATGTTGGTCATATTGTGAATCCTAAGGATACGTTGTAAGTTAGCAAATGTGTTTTTTCACTTTAAGAGAAATGAACTGTATAAACTGTTGTATAAATCTTTGTTTCTGATGTCCTTGGAGTTAACGTTTGAAGATACTCCTTGGTATTAGAAGTTAATCTATTATGTGATTTAACCTAGACCTTTTACCATGGTACCTTTTACTTGAGTGAATGATATTAATATGATTATTTGCTATAAGTATAACAAGGATAATTGTGTCAGGGTACCTTGTGTGTGCATGTGACCATGTGTCCATAGATTTGTACTCTAGAGTTTTTTCTGTTCACAGATAGAGGAAATTATATGTGTACAGATCTTACTAAGATTTAAAGATAGTGTGTTGCATATTTAGCCTTAAAACCTGGTCACAGTAAATATGCACAAAAGGTGCCTATGTATAGATACTATTCTTTCAGACGGAATGTAGTTTCTTGAAGTCGTTGTTTGAGAGTGTATAAGCCTTTGAAAGACATTTAGTAGTGATACACATAAGGAAGGGGATTTATGGATGCCAACTTCTTAATTATGAGGAGCACAACGTTATGGAGTATATGCTTGCTCTTTCATCAGGTGAATGAATGCTATGAGGCAGAGAGCATATATAAGTACATGTAAGAACAACAAATAGACTTCCATTGTCTATAGCTAATCGCTTATATATTAGCTTTTCTTGTAAAGTTTCCACCTTTTGTTATCTTATTACTTTTGTTGTTCTTACATATGAGCCAGAGAGCCCAATTCTATCAATCGGCTGGTCATGTCATGCCCTGTGCATAAAATATACTCTTCAAAAAAAGAAACTTGACACTGACTTTCAAAATGTAATATAATGCGATTGTTTCAAAATAGGACACAGAAACCATAATTGAAACACTGTTTGAAGATCAATGTACACAATGTTCAAAACATTAATCGTGTCACCTAGACAGATACACGTACACGATACAGTTAATGTCCCAGGGGTACAGAAAATGTCAGTATCGGTTGTGCCCACCACGTGCATCAATCACCGCTTGACACCGACGACCCATAGATGCAATCAAGTTGTCAATAACACGCTGTTGGATGTGCTGTCATTCATGCTGAAGTGCATCAAGAAGCGCCGGAAGTGTTTGAGGCGGTGGATTCCTTCTGCGAACGCGTCGATCCAACTCGTCCCACAGATGCTCAATCGGGGACAAATCTGGTGACCGGGATGGCCAAGGTAATGTCTGGATGCTGTTGTGCTGTAAGAAGTCCTGACAAACACGTGCAATATGCGGTCGAGCGTTGTCCTGCTGGAACTGTCCGCCATGAACGTTGACGTGAGGAAGAACTTAAGGCTGTAGGATCAAGTCTCTGTAACGCACACCTGTCAATGCACCTGCCACATGCACGAGAGGCGTCCTACCACCGTGATGAATTCCGGCCCATACCATGACACTCCCGCCTCCAAATGGGACAACCTGCTGCACACAGTTGGGGGCGTAACGTTCACCCCGACGTCTGTAGACACGTGGGCGCCCATCAGCACGTGTAGGTAGGAAACGGGACTCGTCAGTTAACAGTTACTGTACATTTTTCCACCTTGCACGTGTCCATCTAACCCTCTGTTGGCACCAAAGCAGACGGTCCGCCAGATGACGTGGGGTCAATACATGACGTCAAACAGGTCTTCGTGCAAAAAGTCCAGCCTCCCTCGGTCTGTTGCGTACCGTTTGATCTGATATTCTGCGTACCCAAGGGATCTGTGTGGTTGTAGACATGGCTGTGGTAGTGCGGTCTCGGAGGTGTCGCAGCCAGATGTATTGATATTGTGCTTGGGTTGTCACCCTTGGTCTTCCTGCCCTTGGTCTGTCGTCAACTCTGTTGGTTTTGTTGTATCGGGTCCACAGTGTTGAGATTGTCTGTCTGGATACGCCAAAGTGCCTGTCCACTTCTTGCTGAGCTGCTCCAGCTTGTAATCTCCAAATGGCGTTGTTCAGTTGAGCTGCATTCAGTCTTGGCATTTTGTCACCGCCTCTACTGCCGTTATAAGGACTGTATAAACAGCCGTTCATGTGGATTTTTATACCCATTCAGCAGGGGGGCCTGCATTCCTAAATGCAGGATCCTGTGCTGCACGTTTTTTACAGGCGGTTGCGTATGGATAAAGCTGTAAAATTGATCCCCAAACGCTACGTTTATGTGCTTTGCGTGTGTTTTCGCGAATTATAGACACATCATCTTTCCGTTTGACTTATTTGGTTCTCATTTAATGTAATTATTTTTAGATATTCGGCAAAAAATGGTTTTACATTTATGTCAAGTTTCTTTTTTTGAAGAGTATATTTTAAATTAATGAAATTTGCCATATTTCTAGTTTGTATGTATAAACCTGTCTATATTTGTTCTTTGTGTTGGCCATATTGTGAATCGTAAGGATACGTTATATGTCAGCTGGTATGTTTTTCACTTTAAGAGTAAAAGACTTGCACGAGGTGGGCGTTCATGCCCTACGAATTATGTATGCCTCTAAGGACAAATGAATGAGCAATCCTTGAAAGATGTCATAATCACCTTACACATGTTACGGCCTTTAGCAATATACACCAGTCAAACAAAACGGCTGCTGTTGTTCTTCCCATGCCATTGTCGTCGCAGGGCGAAATCATATCACAAGCCACTTGTCGTTGATTCAGGTTGGTTTACGTGTTACAGTATTATGTAGCGCAAGCAGGTCGGTAAGCACACAGATGGATTGCAGTTGCTGCAACCTGCTAACATGAGTGGCGGAAACAAAGTTGCAACTTGTAGAAAACACCTCTACTCACAATAACAAGAAACACCGAACTTCGGCTATGTTTACACGTTAGCTCGATCACACAATGCGCTTGTGGAATGTTTCGAGTCACATAAAATTGAAGCAAAATAGTATAAACACTTTTTTTTATTTTATTGCCTCATTAGTTTATGGATAATCACACATTGAATGGATAATGAAGTGGGACCTATTTACATAATAAACAACCCATTCCAGTGGTGTTGGGTTCTGTTTAAAACATAAATATGCCTCTTTAAGTAAGGGTGCAGGCAATTAGATGGAACAACCCGTCAGTTAGCCCTGTTCGTGGATTTTAGGGCACCGCTCATAACAGGAGTCTTTTTAAACCCATCTCTAATAAAACACTAGGTGAGTCTTAATTTAAGCATCTTAGAAAAGTAAAAGAGTTTGCTCTACCCCCTTGTATATTGTAATAAAGAACAGTTTTACCCTGAACTATTATAACGTCAAAGCACTCAGGCGCAAGTGAACTCGTGCTTTAACTGTAACAGTACACGGCAAAACTATTCTTATTAAACTGCACACGGAGGTAGAGCAAACTTTATTTCTGAAATAGAGCACAATTTGCATGACATCCATTATACTGTTTCAGATGCCTTTACATTAGCAACAACAACGACCCTAGCAGCAACGACCCTTCAACGTAAGTGGTATGGTTTGGTTTGGTTTGCTTTGGTTTGTTGTTTTACGCCACACTCAGCAGTATTCCAGCTTAATGACGGCGATCTGTAAATAATCGAGTCTTGACCAGACAATCCAGTGATTAATATAATGAGCATCGATCCACGCAAATGGGATCGATGACTTGCATCAACCAAGTCAGCGAGCCTGACCACCAGATCCCGTAAGTCGCCTTTTACGACAAGCATAGTCACCTTTGATGGCAAGCATGGGTTGCTGAAGACCAATTCTACCCTGGAATCTTCAGGGGTCAAGTAAGTGGTATGGATTAATATGCAGTCGACTATGGTAAAGTCCACCGACTATGTTTATAAGTAGGAAAATCAAGTCCTTCTGGAATTGTCACCATGATTTTTCCAGTAGATTTGTTTTGCTTGTTGTTTAAAGCCGCACTTAGCAATGTTCCCGCTATATGACGCAGGTCTGTAAATAATCGAGTCTGGACCACACAATCCAGTGATTGTCATCATGAGCATCGATCAACGCATTTGGGACACGATGACATGCATCAACCAAGTCAGCGAGGCTGACCACCAGATCCCGTTAGTCGCCTCTTGTGACAAGCATAGTCGTGTTTTATGGCAAGCATGGGTTGCTGGAGAGCTATTATAGCCCGGATCTTCACGGGTTCAAAATTATAATAATAAAGCCTAGCATGAAAATGAAAGTCCAATGATTCTCACAAAAGTTTTGATGATCATTCTTCAGGCATGGTAGTCCATATAAAAATATAGGGCTTTCGAGTTTTTCTTCACATACCCAAGAAGGTTCTAATGGACATTCATTATTAAGCCTGTTGTAGTGTTGACATTTTTTTAAAAAGGAGTCATCTGAAAACTAAAGAACAGATGATGTAATCTCTTGATTTGTGAAAAGTTGTACATTCTTAACACATTAGTGACAAAATATGAAATGACATTCCGTCAAAGAACAAGAAAACAGAACTATTTCCTTTGATGAACGTTTTCTTTTATCAGCCTGCACTGGTGCCGGAATTTCATGTACTGTTGCTGGTAACTGTAACTCCATTGGAATTATTGCTTCTCGCCAGTGTCCAAGTGGTCAGGTGTGCTGTGTCAGTAAGTAGTCGGACCTCTTTTGACCATGAAACAGTGGCATTCTTTCCAGAGTGTTAACTATATTTTTATTATCCTGCGATTAGGGATTTTTGTATCATTATAGTGGATAACTAAATGGTCTATACAAACATGAAGGATATTTGTCATTTTGAAAACTAAGAAATACTGATTGTCATTACAGTGATTGGTGTTGAACATTTTGAAATCTGTTATATTTCTAGTGTGTATAGAGCTTCGATATTAGTCAATTATGTTGGTCATATTGTGAATCCTAAGGATACGTTGTAAGTTAGCAAATGTGTTTTTTCACTTTAAGAGAAATGAACTGTATAAACTGTTGTATGAATCTTTGCTTCTGATGTCCTTGGAGTTAACGTTTGAAGATACTCCTTGGTATTAGAAGTTAATCTATAATGTGATTTAATCTAGACCTTTTACCATGGTACCTTTTACTTGAGTGAATGATATTAATATGATTATTTGCTATAAGTATAACAAGGATAATTGTGTCAGGGTACCTTGTGTGTGCATGTGACCATGTGTCCATAGATTTGTACTCTAGAGTTTTTTTCTGTTCACAGATAGAGGAAATTATATGTGTACAGATCTTACTAAGATTTAAAGATAGTGTGTTGCATATTTAGCCTTAAAACCTGGTCACAGTAAATATGCACAAAAGGTGCCTATGTATAGATACTATTCTTTCAGACGGAATGTAGTTTCTTGAAGTCGTTGTTTGAGAGTGTATAAGCCTTTGAAAGACATTTAGTAGTGATACACATAAGGAAGGGGATTTATGGATGCCAACTTCTTAATTATGAGGAGCACAACGTTTCGGAGTATATGCTTGCTCTTTCATCAGGTGAATGAAAGCTATGAGGCAGAGTGCATATATATGTACATGTAAGAACAAAAAATAGACTTCCATTGTCTATAGCTAATCGCTTATATATTAGCTTTTCTTGTAAAGTTTCCACCTTTTGTTATCTTATTACTTTTGTTGTTCTTACATATGAGCCAGAGAGCCCAATTCTATATATCGGCTGGTCATGTCATGCCCTGTGCATAAAATATACTCTTCAAAAAAAGAATCTTGACACTGACTTTCAAAATGTAATATAATGCGATTGTTTCAAAATAGGACACAGAAGTCCATAATTGAAACACTGTTTGAAGATCAGTGTACACAATGTTCAAAACATTAATCGTGTCACCTAGACAGATACACGTACACGATACAGTTAATGTCCCAGGGGTACAGAAAATGTCAGTATCGGTTGTGCCCACCACGTGCATCAATCACCGCTTGACACCGACGACCCATAGATGCAATCAAGTTGTCAATAACACGCTGTTGGATGTGCTGCCATTCATGCTGAAGTGCATCAAGAAGCGCCGGAAGTGTTTGAGGCGGTGGATTCCTTCTGCGAACGCGTCGATCCAACTCGTCCCACAGATGCTCAATCGGGGACAAATCTGGTGACCGGGATGGCCAAGGTAATGTCTGGATGCTGTTGTGCTGTAAGAAGTCCTGACAAACACGTGCAATATGCGGTCGAGCGTTGTCCTGCTGGAACTGTCCGCCATGAACGTTGACGTGAGGAAGAACTTAAGGCTGTAGGATCAAGTCTCTGTAACGCACACCTGTCAATGCACCTGCCACATGCACGAGAGGCGTCCTACCACCGTGATGAATTCCGGCCCATACCATGACACTCCCGCCTCCAAATGGGACAACCTGCTGCACACAGTTGGGGGCGTAACGTTCACCCCGACGTCTGTAGACACGTGGGCGCCCATCAGCACGTGTAGGTAGGAAACGGGACTCGTCAGTTAACAGTTACTGTACATTTTTCCACCTTGCACGTGTCCATCTAACCCTCTGTTGGCACCAAAGCAGACGGTCCGCCAGATGACGTGGGGTCAATACATGACGTCAAACAGGTCTTCGTGCAAAAAGTCCAGCCTCCCTCGGTCTGTTGCGTACCGTTTGATCTGATATTCTGCGTACCCAAGGGATCTGTGTGGTTGTAGACATGGCTGTGGTAGTGCGGTCTCGGAGGTGTCGCAGCCAGATGTATTGATATTGTGCTTGGGTTGTCACCCTTGGTCTTCCTGCCCTTGGTCTGTCGTCAACTCTGTTGGTTTTGTTGTATCGGGTCCACAGTGTTGAGATTGTCTGTCTGGATACGCCAAAGTGCCTGTCCACTTCTTGCTGAGCTGCTCCAGCTTGTAATCTCCAAATGGCGTTGTTCAGTTGAGCTGCATTCAGTCTTGGCATTTTGTCACCGCCTCTACTGCCGTTATAAGGACTGTATAAACAGCCGTTCATGTGGATTTTTATACCCATTCAGCAGGGGGGCCTGCATTCCTAAATGCAGGATCCTGTGCTGCACGTTTTTTACAGGCGGTTGCGTATGGATAAAGCTGTAAAATTGATCCCCAAACGCTACGTTTATGTGCTTTGCGTGTGTTTTCGCGAATTATAGACACATCATCTTTCCGTTTGACTTATTTGGTTCTCATTTAATGTAATTATTTTAGATATTCGGCAAAAAATGGTTTTACATTTATGTCAAGTTTCTTTTTTTGAAGAGTATATTTTAAATTAATGAAATTTGCCATATTTCTAGTTTGTATGTATAAACCTGTCTATATTTGTTCTTTGTGTTGGCCATATTGTGAATCGTAAGGATACGTTATATGTCAGCTGGTATGTTTTTCACTTTAAGAGTAAAAGACTTGCACGAGGTGGGCGTTCATGCCCTACGAATTATGTATGCCTCTAAGGACAAATGAATGAGCAATCCTTGAAAGATGTCATAATCACCTTACACATGTTACGGCCTTTAGCAATATACACCAGTCAAACAAAACGGCTGCTGTTGTTCTTCCCATGCCATTGTCGTCGCAGGGCGAAATCATATCACAAGCCACTTGTCGTTGATTCAGGTTGGTTTACGTGTTACAGTATTATGTAGCGCAAGCAGGTCGGTAAGCACACAGATGGATTGCAGTTGCTGCAACCTGCTAACATGAGTGGCGGAAACAAAGTTGCAACTTGTAGAAAACACCTCTACTCACAATAACAAGAAACACCGAACTTCGGCTATGTTTACACGTTAGCTCGATCACACAATGCGCTTGTGGAATGTTTCGAGTCACATAAAATTGAAGCAAAATAGTATAAACACTTTTTTTTATTTTATTGCCTCATTGGTTTATGGATAATCACACATTGAATGGATAATGAAGTGGGACCTATTTACATAATAAACAACCCATTCCAGTGGTGTTGGGTTCTGTTTAAAACATAAATATGCCTCTTTAAGTAAGGGTGCAGGCAATTAGATGGAACAACCCGTCAGTTAGCCCTGTTCGTGGATTTTAGGGCACCGCTCATAACAGGAGTCTTTTTAAACCCATCTCTAATAAAACACTAGGTGAGTCTTAATTTAAGCATCTTAGAAAAGTAAAAGAGTTTGCTCTACCCCCTTGTATATTGTAATAAAGAACAGTTTTACCCTGAACTATTATAACGTCAAAGCACTCAGGCGCAAGTGAACTCGTGCTTTAACTGTAATAGTACACGGCAAAACTATTCTTATTAAACTGCACACGGAGGTAGAGCAAACTTTATTTCTGAAATAGAGCACAATTTGCATGACATCCATTATACTGTTTCAGATGCCTTTACATTAGCAACAACAACGACCCTAGCAGCAACGACCCTTCAACGTAAGTGGTATGGTTTGGTTTGGTTTGCTTTGGTTTGTTGTTTTACGCCACACTCAGCAGTATTCCAGCTTAATGACGGCGATCTGTAAATAATCGAGTCTTGACCAGACAATCCAGTGATTAATATAATGAGCATCGATCCACGCAAATGGGATCGATGACTTGCATCAACCAAGTCAGCGAGCCTGACCACCAGATCCCGTAAGTCGCCTTTTACGACAAGCATAGTCACCTTTGATGGCAAGCATGGGTTGCTGAAGACCAATTCTACCCTGGAATCTTCAGGGGTCAAGTAAGTGGTATGGATTAATATGCAGTCGACTATGGTAAAGTCCACCGACTATGTTTATAAGTAGGAAAATCAAGTCCTTCTGGAATTGTCACCATGATTTTTCCAGCAGATTTGTTTTGCTTGTTGTTTAAAGCCGCACTCAGCAATATTCCCGCTATATGACGCAGGTCTGTAAATAATCGAGTCTGGACCAGACAATCCAGTGATTGTCATCATGAGCATCGATCAACGCATTTGGGACACGAAGACATGCATCAACCAAGTCAGCGAGGCTGACCACCAGATCCCGTTAGTCGCCTCTTGTGACAAGCATAGTCGTGTTTTATGGCAAGCATGGGTTGCTGAAGAGCCATTCTAGCCGGGATCTTCACGGGTTAAAAATTATAATTATAAAGCCTAGCATGAAAATGAAAGTCCAATGATTCTCACAAAAGTTTTGATGATCATTCTTCAGGCACGGTAGTGCATATAAAAATATAGGGCTTTCGAGTTTTTCTTCACATACCCAAGAAGGTTCTTATGGACATTCATTATTAAGCCTGTTGTAGTTTTGACATTTTTTAAAAAGGAGTCATCTGAAAACTCAAAGAACAGATAATGTAATCTCTTGATTTGTGAAAAGTTGTACATTCTTAACACATTAGTGACAAAATATGAAATGACATTCCGTCAAAGAACAAGAAAACAGAAGTATTTCCTTTGATGAACGTTTTCTTTTATCAGCCTGCACTGGTGCCGGAATTTCATGTACTGTTGCTGGTAACTGTAACTCCATTGGAATTATTGCTTCTCGCCAGTGTCCAAGTGGTCAGGTGTGCTGTGTCAGTAAGTAGTCGGACCTCTTTTGACCATGAAACAGTGGCATTCTTTCCAGAGTGTTAACTATATTTTTATTATCCTGCGATTAGGGATTTTTGTATCATTATAGTGGATAACTAAATGGTCTATACAAACATGAAGGATATTTGTCATTTTGAAAACTAAGAAATACTGATTATCATTACAGTGATTGGTGTTGAACATTTTGAAATCTGTTATATTTCTAGTGTGTATAGAGCTTCGATATTAGTCAATTATGTTGGTCATATTGTGAATCCTAAGGATACGTTGTAAGTTAGCAAATGTGTTTTTTCACTTTAAGAGAAATGAACTGTATAAACTGTTGTATGAATCTTTGCTTCTGATGTCCTTGGAGTTAACGTTTGAAGATACTCCTTGGTATTAGAAGTTAATCTATAATGTGATTTAATCTAGACCTTTTACCATGGTACCTTTTACTTGAGTGAATGATATTAATATGATTATTTGCTATAAGTATAACAAGGATAATTGTGTCAGGGTACCTTGTGTGTGCATGTGACCATGTGTCCATAGATTTGTACTCTAGAGTTTTTTTCTGTTCACAGATAGAGGAAATTATATGTGTACAGATCTTACTAAGATTTAAAGATAGTGTGTTGCATATTTAGCCTTAAAACCTGGTCACAGTAAATATGCACAAAAGGTGCCTATGTATAGATACTATTCTTTCAGACGGAATGTAGTTTCTTGAAGTCGTTGTTTGAGAGTGTATAAGCCTTTGAAAGACATTTAGTAGTGATACACATAAGGAAGGGGATTTATGGATGCCAACTTCTTAATTATGAGGAGCACAACGTTTCGGAGTATATGCTTGCTCTTTCATCAGGTGAATGAAAGCTATGAGGCAGAGAGCATATATATGTACATGTAAGAACAAAAAATAGACTTCCATTGTCTATAGCTAATCGCTTATATATTAGCTTTTCTTGTAAAGTTTCCACCTTTTGTTATCTTATTACTTTTGTTGTTCTTACATATGAGCCAGAGAGCCCAATTCTATCAATCGGCTGGTCATGTCATGCCCTGTGCATAAAATATACTCTTCAAAAAAAGAATCTTGACACTGACTTTCAAAATGTAATATAATGCGATTGTTTCAAAATAGGACACAGAAGTCCATAATTGAAACACTGTTTGAAGATCAGTGTACACAATGTTCAAAACATTAATCGTGTCACCTAGACAGATACACGTACACGATACAGTTAATGTCCCAGGGGTACAGAAAATGTCAGTATCGGTTGTGCCCACCACGTGAATCAATCACCGCTTGACACCGACGACCCATAGATGCAATCAAGTTGTCAATAACACGCTGTTGGATGTGCTGCCATTCATGCTGAAGTGCATCAAGAAGCGCCGGAAGTGTTTGAGGCGGTGGATTCCTTCTGCGAACGCGTCGATCCAACTCGTCCCACAGATGCTCAATCGGGGACAAATCTGGTGACCGGGATGGCCAAGGTAATGTCTGGATGCTGTTGTGCTGTAAGAAGTCCTGACAAACACGTGCAATATGCGGTCGAGCGTTGTCCTGCTGGAACTGTCCGCCATGAACGTTGACGTGAGGAAGAACTTAAGGCTGTAGGATCAAGTCTCTGTAACGCACACCTGTCAATGCACCTGCCACATGCACGAGAGGCGTCCTACCACCGTGATGAATTCCGGCCCATACCATGACACTCCCGCCTCCAAATGGGACAACCTGCTGCACACAGTTGGGGGCGTAACGTTCACCCCGACGTCTGTAGACACGTGGGCGCCCATCAGCACGTGTAGGTAGGAAACGGGACTCGTCAGTTAACAGTTACTGTACATTTTTCCACCTTGCACGTGTCCATCTAACCCTCTGTTGGCACCAAAGCAGACGGTCCGCCAGATGACGTGGGGTCAATACATGACGTCAAACAGGTCTTCGTGCAAAAAGTCCAGCCTCCCTCGGTCTGTTGCGTACCGTTTGATCTGATATTCTGCGTACCCAAGGGATCTGTGTGGTTGTAGACATGGCTGTGGTAGTGCGGTCTCGGAGGTGTCGCAGCCAGATGTATTGATATTGTGCTTGGGTTGTCACCCTTGGTCTTCCTGCCCTTGGTCTGTCGTCAACTCTGTTGGTTTTGTTGTATCGGGTCCACAGTGTTGAGATTGTCTGTCTGGATACGCCAAAGTGCCTGTCCACTTCTTGCTGAGCTGCTCCAGCTTGTAATCTCCAAATGGCGTTGTTCAGTTGAGCTGCATTCAGTCTTGGCATTTTGTCACCGCCTCTACTGCCGTTATAAGGACTGTATAAACAGCCGTTCATGTGGATTTTTATACCCATTCAGCAGGGGGGCCTGCATTCCTAAATGCAGGATCCTGTGCTGCACGTTTTTTACAGGCGGTTGCGTATGGATAAAGCTGTAAAATTGATCCCCAAACGCTACGTTTATGTGCTTTGCGTGTGTTTTCGCGAATTATAGACACATCATCTTTCCGTTTGACTTATTTGGTTCTCATTTAATGTAATTATTTTAGATATTCGGCAAAAAATGGTTTTACATTTATGTCAAGTTTCTTTTTTTGAAGAGTATATTTTAAATTAATGAAATTTGCCATATTTCTAGTTTGTATGTATAAACCTGTCTATATTTGTTCTTTGTGTTGGCCATATTGTGAATCGTAAGGATACGTTATATGTCAGCTGGTATGTTTTTCACTTTAAGAGTAAAAGACTTGCACGAGGTGGGCGTTCATGCCCTACGAATTATGTATGCCTCTAAGGACAAATGAATGAGCAATCCTTGAAAGATGTCATAATCACCTTACACATGTTACGGCCTTTAGCAATATACACCAGTCAAACAAAACGGCTGCTGTTGTTCTTCCCATGCCATTGTCGTCGCAGGGCGAAATCATATCACAAGCCACTTGTCGTTGATTCAGGTTGGTTTACGTGTTACAGTATTATGTAGCGCAAGCAGGTCGGTAAGCACACAGATGGATTGCAGTTGCTGCAACCTGCTAACATGAGTGGCGGAAACAAAGTTGCAACTTGTAGAAAACACCTCTACTCACAATAACAAGAAACACCGAACTTCGGCTATGTTTACACGTTAGCTCGATCACACAATGCGCTTGTGGAATGTTTCGAGTCACATAAAATTGAAGCAAAATAGTATAAACACTTTTTTTTATTTTATTGCCTCATTGGTTTATGGATAATCACACATTGAATGGATAATGAAGTGGGACCTATTTACATAATAAACAACCCATTCCAGTGGTGTTGGGTTCTGTTTAAAACATAAATATGCCTCTTTAAGTAAGGGTGCAGGCAATTAGATGGAACAACCCGTCAGTTAGCCCTGTTCGTGGATTTTAGGGCACCGCTCATAACAGGAGTCTTTTTAAACCCATCTCTAATAAAACACTAGGTGAGTCTTAATTTAAGCATCTTAGAAAAGTAAAAGAGTTTGCTCTACCCCCTTGTATATTGTAATAAAGAACAGTTTTACCCTGAACTATTATAACGTCAAAGCACTCAGGCGCAAGTGAACTCGTGCTTTAACTGTAATAGTACACGGCAAAACTATTCTTATTAAACTGCACACGGAGGTAGAGCAAACTTTATTTCTGAAATAGAGCACAATTTGCATGACATCCATTATACTGTTTCAGATGCCTTTACATTAGCAACAACAACGACCCTAGCAGCAACGACCCTTCAACGTAAGTGGTATGGTTTGGTTTGGTTTGCTTTGGTTTGTTGTTTTACGCCACACTCAGCAGTATTCCAGCTTAATGACGGCGATCTGTAAATAATCGAGTCTTGACCAGACAATCCAGTGATTAATATAATGAGCATCGATCCACGCAAATGGGATCGATGACTTGCATCAACCAAGTCAGCGAGCCTGACCACCAGATCCCGTAAGTCGCCTTTTACGACAAGCATAGTCACCTTTGATGGCAAGCATGGGTTGCTGAAGACCAATTCTACCCTGGAATCTTCAGGGGTCAAGTAAGTGGTATGGATTAATATGCAGTCGACTATGGTAAAGTCCACCGACTATGTTTATAAGTAGGAAAATCAAGTCCTTCTGGAATTGTCACCATGATTTTTCCAGTAGATTTGTTTTGCTTGTTGTTTAAAGCCGCACTTAGCAATGTTCCCGCTATATGACGCAGGTCTGTAAATAATCGAGTCTGGACCACACAATCCAGTGATTGTCATCATGAGCATCGATCAACGCATTTGGGACACGAAGACATGCATCAACCAAGTCAGCGAGGCTGACCACCAGATCCCGTTAGTCGCCTCTTGTGACAAGCATAGTCGTGTTTTATGGCAAGCATGGGTTGCTGGAGAGCTATTATAGCCCGGATCTTCACGGGTTAAAAATTATAATTATAAAGCCTAGCATGAAAATGAAAGTCCAATGATTCTCACAAAAGTTTTGATGATCATTCTTCAGGCACGGTAGTGCATGTAAAAATATAGGGCTTTCGAGTTTTTCTTCACATACCCAAGAAGGTTCTTATGGACATTCATTATTAAGCCTGTTGTAGTTTTGACATTTTTTAAAAAGGAGTCATCTGAAAACTCAAAGAACAGATAATGTAATCTCTTGATTTGTGAAAAGTTGTACATTCTTAACACATTAGTGACAAAATATGAAATGACATTCCGTCAAAGAACAAGAAAACAGAAGTATTTCCTTTGATGAACGTTTCCTTTTATCAGCCTGCACTGGTGCCGGAATTTCATGTACTGTTGCTGGTAACTGTAACTCCTTTGGAATTATTCCTAGTCGCCAGTGTCCAAGTGGTCAGGTTTGCTGTGTCGGTAAGTATTCTGACCTCGATTGATCTCAAAACATAGCCATTCTTCTTAGGGCGTGACTTTTTTTTTTTGTTAAACGCAACGGAAAGTTGATGATGAGAAGAAACAGATGTTGGAATTCCATTTAAATTCTCAGATTTGTTTTTTTTATGATCCCGTGATCAAGGAATTGTGAGAGGAAAGCAAAACCATCCATACAAACATGTAGAATACTTGTAAATATCTGCTCCCTTATGTTCCAACTGTCAAGGAAGTCATTTTGAGAACTTACAAAAACTGGTTGTCATTAAACAACAATTGTTTTCGAATATGATAAAATATGCCATATTTCTAGTATGTATGTATAAACCTGTCTATGGTTGGTGTTTGTGTTGGCCATATTGTGAATCGTAAGGCTGCATTATATGTCAGCTGGTATGTTTTTCACTTGTTGATCAGCATACGGCCTTTAGAAATATACACAAGTAAAACAAAACAGCTGCTGTTGCTCTTCCTATGCTAAGTTCGTCCCAGGGTGACATCATATCACAAGCCACTGGTCGTGGATTGACGTTGGTTTACAGGTTACGGTACCATGTTGCACAAGCAGCTTGGTAAGCACACTGTTTCATGGCTTGCAGTTGCTGCAGTCTGCTAACATAAGTGGCGAAAACAAAGTTGCAACTTGTACAAATCAACTCAACACAAAATAACCAGCAACACCGAACTTCAGCTATGTTTACATGTTAGCTCAACCACACAATGCACCTGTGGGATGTTTCGAGTCACATAAAACTGAGGCATATTAATATAAAAACTTAAATTTGAAAAAGTCTTTTTGCTGCATGGGTTTATGGACAACAACACATTGAATGAATAATGAAGTGGGACCCATTTAAATAATAAACAACCCATTCTAGTGGTGTTGTGTTGTGTTTAAAACATAAATATGCCTCTAGACGTAAGGGTGCAGGCAATTAGGTGGAACAGCCCGTCAGTTAGCCCTGTTCGTCGATTTTAGTGCACAAGTCATTACAGGATTCTTTTTAAACCCATCTCTAATAAAACACAAGGTGAGTCTTAATTTAAACATCTTAGAAAAGGAATCAAGTTTGCTCTATCCCCTTGTATATTGTAATAAAGAATATTTTTGCAGTGAAGTATTATAACGTCAAAGCACTCGGGCGCAAGTGCACTTGTGTTTTAACTGTCATAGTACACGGCAAAACTATTCATATTAAAATGTACAACGGGATAGAGCAAACTTTATTTCTTAAATAGAGCTGTATTTTCATGACATAAATTGCACTGTTTCAGATGTCTTTACATTAGCAACAACAACGACCTTAGCAACAACGACCCTTCAACGTAAGTGGTATGAATTAATATGCAGTCGACTGTGGTAAAGTCCACCGACTATGTTTAAGTCGGAAAGTCAAGCCTGTCTGACTTTGTCACCTTGTTTTTCCCAATTGAGATCTGCTTTTGAGGAAATATTTTAGTTAACTTGATTCATTCTCATGATTTGCTCTGTCATAGTAGATGGACATATTTTTTGGATGGCTTGACATGCAATTGTTACTTAAACAATCCAGAAAATAGAAACTGTAGTCATTCAGAAATGGGTATCATTATCAGTAAATGGTTTCAATTTGTGCATATCATTTTAATTGCCTTCTGAATACACCAGGTTTTCAGCTGAATTTTCAGCGCTTGGTTCAAAATTAAAATAAAGAGGTATCTATTCTACAGTGGGACTACATCAAATTTCAAAACACAGTAGGTTTATCTCCTAAATGTTTTTGTGAAAAAGTGTACATTCTCAACACTTTAGTGGCAAAACATGAAAAGGACATTCCGTCAAAGAACAAGAAAACAGATCTATTTCCTTTGATGAACGTTTTCTTTCAGCCTGCACTGATACCGGAATCTCATGTACTGTTGCTGGTAACTGTAACTCCTTTGGAATTATTCCTAGTCGCCAGTGTCCAAGTGGTCAGGTTTGCTGTGTCGGTGAGTATTCTGACCTCGTTTGCCCTCAAAACATAGCCATTCTTCTTAGGGGGTGACCTATTTTCTGTTAGTTGCAAAGGAAGGTTGATGATGAGAAGAAATAGATGTCGGGAGTCAATTTCCATTTTCAGATTTGTTTTTTATCATCCCTTGATTAAAGAATTGTGAATAATTTTAGAGGAAAGCAAAACGATCCATACAAACATGTAGAATACTTGTAAATATCTGCTCTTTAATGTTCCGAATGTCTAGGAAGTCATTTTGACAACTTCCAAAAACTGATTGTCATTCAACTGCAATTGTTTTTGAATATAATAAAATGTGCGATTTTTCTAGTATGTATGTATAAACCTGTCTATATTTGTTCTTTGTGTTGGCCATATTGTGAATCGTAAGGATATGCTATATGTCAGCTGGTATGTTTTTCACTTTAAGAGTAAAAGACTTGTAGGAGGAGGGTGTTTGTGCACTACGAATTATGTATGTCTCTCAAGACAAAGGAATAAGCAATCACTGACAAGTTTCATAGCCACATGTTCACTTGTTGATCAGCATACGGCCTTTAGCAATATACACAAGTCAAACAAAACAGTTGCTGTTGCTCTTCCTATGCCATGTTCATCCCATGGTGACATCATATCACAAGCCACTGGTCGTGGATTGACGTTGGTTTATGGGTTACGGTACCATGTTGCGCAAGCAGCTTGGTAAGCACACTGTTTCATGGCTTGCAGTTTCTGCAAACTGCTAACATTAGTGGGGAAAACAAAGTTACAACTTGTACAAAACAACTCAACTCAAACTAACCAGCAACACCGAACTTCAGCTATGTTTACATGTTAGCTCAACCACACAGTGCATTTGTGGAATGTTTCGAGTCACATGAAATTGAAGGAAATTAATATAAAAAGTTAAATTTGAAAAGAGTCTTATTGCTGCATGTGTTTATGGACAACCACACATTGAATGAAATATGAAGTGGGACCTATTTAAATAATAAACAACCCATTCTAGTGGTGTTGTGTTGTGCTGTGTTTCAAATGTAAATATGCCTCTAGACGTAAGGGTGCAGGCAATTAGGTGGAACAGCCGTCAGTTAGCCCTGTTCGTCGATTTTAGTGCACAGCTCATAACAGGATTCTTTTTAAACCCATCTCTAATGAAACACAAGGTGAGTCTTAATTTCAGCATCTTAGAAAAGTAATCAAGTTTGCTCTCCCCCATGTATATTGTAACAAAGAATAGTTTTGCCCTGAACTATTATAACGTCAAAGCACTCAGGCGCAAGTGCACTCATGTTTTAACTGTCATAGTACACGGCAAAAATATATTTATGAAACTGTACATGGGGGTAGGGCAAACTTTATTTCTTAATTAGAGCTGTATTTTCATGACATCAATTATACTGTTTCAGATGCCCTTACTTTAGCGACGACAACGACCTTAGCAACAACGACCCTTCAACGTAAGTGGTATGAATAAATATGCAGTCGACTGTGGTAAAGTCCACGGACTATCTTTAAGTCGGAAAGTCAAGCCTTTCTGAATTTGCCACCATGTTTTTCCCAATAGAGATCTTCTTTTGAGGAAATATTTTAGTTAACTTGATTCATTCTCATGATTTGCTCTGTCATAGTAGATGGACATATTTTTTGGATGGCTTGACATGCAATTGTTACTTAAACAATCCAGAAAATAGAAACTGTAGTCATTCAGAAATGGGTATCATTATCAGTAAATGGTTTCAATTTATTGCATATAATTTTAATTGCCTTCTGAATACACCAGGTTTTCAGCTGAATTTTCAGCGCTTGGTTCAAAATTAAAATAAAGAGGTATCTATTCTACAGTGGGACTACATCAAATTTCAAAACACAGTAGGTTTATCTCCTAAATGTTTTTGTGAAAAAGTGTACATTCTCAACACATTAGTGGCAAAACATGAAAAGGACATTCCGTCAAAGAACAAGAAAACAGATCTATTTCCTTTGATGAACGTTTTCTTTCAGCCTGCACTGATACCGGAATCTCATGTACTGTTGCTGGTAACTGTAACTCCTTTGGAATTATTCCTAGTCGCCAGTGTCCAAGTGGTCAGGTTTGCTGTGTCGGTGAGTATTCTGACCTCGTTTGCCCTCAAAACATAGCCATTCTTCTTAGGGCGTGACCTATTTTCTGTTAATCACAAAGAAGGTTGATGATGAGAAGAAATAGATGTCGGGAGTCCATTTCCATTTTCAGATTTGTTTTTTTAAGATCCCTTGGTTAAAAAATTGTGAATAATTTTAGAGGAAAGCAAAACGATCCATACAAACATGTAGAATACTTGTAAATATCTACTCCTTAAAGTTCTGAATGTCAAGGAAGTCATTTTGAGAACTTCCAAAAACTGATTGTCATTCAACGGCAATTATTTTTGAATATAATAAAATGTGTGATATTTCTAGTATGTATGTATAAACCTGTCCATATTTGTTCTTTGTGTTGGCCATATTGTGAATCGAAAGGATATGTTATATGTCATCTGGTATGTTTTTCACTTTAAGAGTAAAAGACTTAGAAAAGTAATCAAATTTGCTCTACCCCCATGTATATTGTAACAAAGAATAGTTTTGCCCTGAACTAATATAACGTCAAAGCACTCAGGTGCAAGTTCACTCGTGCTTTAACTTTAATAGTTCAAGGCAAAAATATACTTATGAAACTGTACATTGGGGTAGGGCAAACTTTATTTCTTAATTAGAGCTGTATTTTCATGACATCAATTATACTGTTTCAGATGCCCTTACTTTAGCAACGACAACGACCTTAGCAACAACGACCCTTCAACGTAAGTGGTATGAATTAATATGCAGTCGACTGTGGTAAAGTCCACGGACTATCTTTAAGTCGGAAAGTCAAGCCTTTCTGAATTTGCCACCATGTTTTTCCAAAATAGAGCTCTTCTTTTGAGGAAATATTTGAGTTAACTTGATTCATTCTCATGATTTGCTCTGTCATACTAGATGGACATATTTTTCGGATGGCTTGACATGCAATTGTTACTTAAACAATCCAGAAAATAGAAACTGTAGTCATTCAGAAATGGGTATCATTATCAGTAAATGGTTTCAATTTGTGCATATCATTTTAATTGCCTTCTGAAAACACCACGTTTTCAGCTGAATTTTCAGCGCTTGGTTCAAAATTAAAATAAAGAGGTATCTATTCTACAGTGGGACTACATCAAATTTCAAAACACAGTAGGTTTATCTCCTAAATGTTTTTGTGAAAAAGTGTACATTCTCAACACATTAGTGGCAAAACATGAAAAGGACATTCCGTCAAAGAACAAGAAAACAGATCTATTTCCTTTGATGAACGTTTTCTTTCAGCCTGCACTGATACCGGAATCTCATGTACTGTTGCTGGTAACTGTAACTCCTTTGGAATTATTCCTAGTCGCCAGTGTCCAAGTGGTCAGGTTTGCTGTGTCGGTGAGTATTCTGACCTCGTTTGCCCTCAAAACATAGCCATTCTTCTTAGGGCGTGACCTATTTTCTGTTAATCGCAAAGGAAGGTTGATGATGAGAAGAAATAGATGTCGGGAGTCCATTTCCATTTTCAGATTTGTTTTTTTATGATCCCTTGGTTAAAGAATTGTGAATAATTTTAGAGGAAAGCAAAACGATCCATACAAACATGTAGAATACTTGTAAATATCTACTCCTTAAAGTTCTGAATGTCTAGGAAGTCATTTTGAGAACTTCCAAAAACTGATTGTCATTCAACAGCAATTATTTTTGAATATAATAAAATGTGTGATATTTCTAGTATGTATGTATAAACCTGTCCATATTTGTTCTTTGTGTTGGCCATATTGTGAATCGAAAGGATATGTTATATGTCATCTGGTATGTTTTTCACTTTAAGAGTAAAAGACTTAGAAAAGTAATCAAATTTGCTCTACCCCCATGTATATTGTAACAAAGAATAGTTTTGCCCTGAACTAATATAACGTCAAAGCACTCAGGTGCAAGTGCACTCGTGCTATAACTATAATAGTTCAAGGCAAAACTATTCTTATTGAATTGAACTGTTCATGGGGATAGAGCAAACTTTATTTCTTGAATAGAGCTGTCTTTTCACGACATTAATTGTACTGTTTCAGATGCCCTTACTTTAGCAACAACAACGACCTTAGCAACAACGACCCTTCAACGTAAGTGGTATGAATTAATATGCAGTCGACTGTGGTAAAGTCCACCGACTATGTTTAAGTCAGAAAGTCAAGCCTGTCTGACTTTGTCACCTTGTTTTTCCCAATTGAGATCTGCTTTTGAGGAAATATTTGAGTTAACTTGATTCATTCTCAGGATCTGCTCTGTCACATTATATTAATCAGTTTGAAAGAAGTATTTGTTCGTTGAACATCAACAACATATATGATCTGTTCAATTGTGAGAACGTGGTTTACTTACAAATCTGACTTTACGTCTAAAATACTACTGCATGAACCCTTAAAAAACTGCCATGTTACATTGACATGTAATCTCTGGTATTGAACGTTTGTGGATTTATTTTTCTTGGAAAAACACACAAGAAATTATCGAGCCTTATGAGTCATCATTCATCAGGCAAAAGATAAATGATTCTCTTTGTGTCCACTTACACCCTCAATTCCGAAAATCACTCAATCCTTTGCATTAAAATGAGGATATTAGAGAAAAATACCATCCATCTCATAGCGTTAAATGCAGTTGAACTAAAATGATTGTATTCGACTTGTATAAACAGTAGTGACATATGGATGTAATGGCATGTTTTTGAAAGCTCTACTGAGGCCTTGAATGTTGTACCCTTGATCACAAAACTCTAAGCTGGAGTCAGTAAATGCTCTTTGAAATCTTGCTAGAAAGCGATAGGTACAAAGACTTAATTACTTGATCTATGGGGCATTTGTTACTAACCACGGTGTGACCACTGATTACCAACTCACTGACTCACTCACTTACAAACATGTTTTGGCTTGAAGGACAACACCACAGCATGTGCTTCTATTTCTATTTGATTCTGTATCTATTGAAACCCAGTTGCCATTTTAAACCCCTGACAGCCCTGTGTCAAAATGGCTCTGAGTCTACGTGGACTAGCGTCAACAATCTCTGTGTAGTTTGGAGATCGAAGTATGTATTGACAAAACTGTTTTCAAAAAGTGAATCTTCTCTTGTGAGTCCTCCAGTCTCTGGTACACCACATCTAGTGCAACATCATGTTTTGCCATAGATGATTATATCGTCGCTGCTGTTTTTTCAGTTTGGAATGTCTCTGATGATTGATCATCTCTTCGTGAAACACTTCCGAGGCAGATGTTACTCGAAGGCTGTCACTCTTGTAGCGGTGCAATCCCATGAGTGAAGTAAACGTTGTGATTTGCCGGAATTCTAGATGTAATTGTATTTGAGGAAGCCCGGCCCTAAGGTTCAATTTGCAGAAGACTTTTGCACTGTTTCAGTCATGAGTTATTTCATTTTCGTAGGACTATGATGTTGCTCCCGTTTAAAAGCCTTGTCACTGTTTTTTTTTTGGTGGTGTAACTATAGGCTATACGCATGTGATAGCTTCACCTTCCACCCTATTGCATAATGTCCGCCTCAATTAACTTTTTGAGATCTTTCTCCACTTTTCAACAAAGGGGAAAAGTCGTGTTGTGTTGCTGGATTCACTGTCTCGTCTATGTGTAGTTTGATCTGTCTACCAATACTGTTTTGAAGAACTCTGGATACTTATCTATTGGTGTGTGTACATGTTTGATGATATTTTCCCTTCAAAGCTCATGAGCTGTTTCTTTACTCAAAAATGATCCATAGTATTCTGCAACGAAGAACGTGTGACACTGTATGCTAGTGCTTATCTTCACGGCAACGTCAACTGCCCTAAAGTGTTTAAGGTAGCGTCGGATCCATATGAAGAGAAGTCAACTCTCTCTCTCTCTCTCCTTTGTGTCCATTTTGGAACTACCAAACTGCATATACAATTCCTCATCCAAATTATTTTCTAAAATCCATCATGATTTCACACGTTTTGCTGTTTATCAGGATTGACACAACAGCTGAATGTTTGCAACATTTTGTTTTTTTCATCGTGATGATCCTAGAGCAGTATTCCTCTTCGGTGTGTTTGTGTAGCTGTCCTTTGTATTATTATACCTCCGACCTAAAAGGGCGGGGTCATGTAGTTATACCAAGGAATTCCGTCCGTCCGTCCGTCCGTCTTTCCATCCGTTCTTCCGGTTCTACTGCATAGGTTGTAGTCAAACTTGATTAACACTTTCTTTATCATTAGGAGAGGTGCAATATTTTGATTTTTACTTTTTAGTTTTACTTGATATGTGGATTTTGAGAGAAAATATGTTTTTTTACATGTTTTTACTTCAACATTGGTGCAACCTAGAAACTAAGAACTACCACCTGGATTCTTTTCAAACTTAAGGAACACTTCCTATACTTATAGGAGAGGTGCAATGCAAAGTTTGATATAAGTATTTTTTGGAAAAAAATGATTTGTTTCATATTTTGAACTTTTATTTTCATACCCCCGACCTACGATCTTGAATCAGGCCATTACTATGTTATATTTTGGTGCCTTTTAGGAGTATAGGCTCAATCGCTAAGGAATCAATATATCTCCAATATCAAAATTGTTCTTCAGCTGGTGTTGAAATACCCTGCAAATCACTCCAATAAAGCTGCAATGATCTGCAGAAACATACAAACAAGTGAACAACATAAACATATAAGAAACAAGACAAAAAGTGAGCAGGGCTCTCTAATAGGTCTTCAGCAACCCATGCTTGCCGTAAAAGGCGATAATGCTTGTAGTAAGCGGCGACTAACGGGATCAGGTGGTCAGGCTCAATGACTTGGTTGATGCATGTCGCCGTGTCCCAATTGCGTTGATCGATGCACATGATGTCAATTACTGGATTGTCTGGTCCAGACTTGATTATTGACAGACATGATTAAAACAACAAACAAACAAAAACAAAGGTAATTTAGTTCAGTAACACATTTTTCAGCCTGTCTACATATTGCTTCCATCTCTATCCGATTCAACTTTTCAGAGTCAGTAATGAACTGTGGAAAAACGGGATGCTAGTCTATGCTCGATTCCCTACCGAAGCTTTTGTTCTTCTGTTCCTGTCTTCTGTTTGTTATGAAGTTTAACTGCTTCTCCTGTTCGACCGTTTCCGTTCACTATTATCATGGTAACTCACAAATCAGACTACTAGGTTTTGTTTGTGCTTGAAGGTAAGGTGGATGATTAACAGGGAAGAAATAGAACACATATGTATTTTCGTCCATCAAGCATCATCTTACCTTGTTAATATGTTTCCACCCACATATGGTTCGCGGATCTTCAAAAAAGAAATGTTGAATATCTTTTGGTTATTCCCTCATAATCGTAGATGTTGGTAAGGTAATACCATGGAACCTCCAAACCCTGATATAACTAATTTCGCTCGAACAGCGGGGGTATTTCAATTGTATTGATCAAAACCATGGACATTACATTTTATTCTTCAAAATGTTATGTAGTGAAATTGGAATCAGTTTGGTTTAAATTTACTTATTTTTGAGTTAAAGCAATTTATTTAGATTACACTTCCCATTTAGCTTCAACATAATGAATTGTCTTTTATGAAAACGCTTACTTTCAGCGTGCTCTGTACCTGGCATCTCGTGTGTTAGCCCCAGCTTATGCCCTCCTATAGCACTTCTACCTGGAAGACAGTGTCCAAGTAGACAGGAGGTGTGCTGTGTCAGTAAGTAATCCGTCCTTCTTAAACTAAAACGTGTGTATAATGCTTTGGTGTACCTAAAACACAACAACAATATAGGTTTGTAGTGTTCAAGTGGTTTGGGCCCGAATGTATAAATATCCGATGACACATGCAACGCGTGTTACAAGGGTACAACGGTTTTGCTTTGCATACATGTAATAAAGAAGTGGATTTCAGCTGAAATTGCCAAACTGATCTTATGAATAGTTAGCTGCTCAGACTGACAAAACAAAAAGGGGGATCAAAGGTGAGCTTTCAGCATAACGAGGAATTCTTTAATCATAAGGCTACTGTACCACAAAAGTTAGAGAAAGAAGTTATTTGCTCTGTACATGATGTGTTACGTTATGTTATATGTATTACCATGGAAATTGCAATATGTTAATGTTTACACAGGTTTGATGGAGTCAACATGAACACATTTGTTTGGGCTAAACAAACAAACCAATGAAAACCGAGATTTGTTGTGTACTTGGTGATTATCTATTTATAGATCTGTGTCAGGCTGATAATTCTTTAGACTTGTGGCAATACGCTAACAAAATCAAACAACCTAATTAATATGCTCCGTGTTTTCATAACATCAATTTTATCTTTTCAGGTGCTTTGGTCGGTTAATGTAAGTAAAAATATATCTATTTATCTTTCTTGGTATTTTCAGCCTTTCATCGAGGCAATGTGTTGTGTGATGTGTTAAAGCTATACACACATGCACAACAGCCTTCTAAAATTAAAGGTCAGATGTTGGAATCGGTACCCACAGGGTTAAGAGGAAATGATTCATTCTTGCAATAGTAGCTAAATAACACTGATATTACCACATTTGGCAAGAATCTGATATGTTGTTTTGCGAATGAAACTATTACATAAATTTGAATAAATTCAAAGAGTAGAATTTGTGTTTCCTATTTGATACATTGTCCTTGATCATTGAAAATCGAATCTTCTTACAGTCACAATAGAACCACATTGATTGTGATGACATGAATACATGACCGTACCAGAGATATGCATTATTCAGAGTTAACAGTGTTTGTGATAAGCATTATTCAGAGTTAACAGTGTTTGTGATAAGCATTATTAAGAGTTAACAGTGTTTGTGATAAAAATAATTCAGAGTAATCAGTGTTTGTGATACAAAATTGTCTGAGTGGTCAGTGTTAATGATAAGCATAATTATTTCGCGATGACAGAAACATATATGTACATTTTGTAGAGATAACGTTCGTATGATTGGCAATATGGTTGGACAACAAACACGCTCGCTAAGTATTATATCTTTAAGACCAACGATTTAATGTTCTGGGTTGTGGGAACTTGGAAGTTTCGTTTCTTGACAGATGTATTTTTAGTCAGCACATCAAGACATGTTAGTTCAC